CATCTTAAAATTAGAAATTTAAACAATTGTTTCTCAATACAACGGCCACACACTGAAGATATTTATTGAAGCGCACGAAACGTTTTTATCTTCCTTAGGGTGTGATCCTTTCGGCGAATCCAAAAACGGATTTTGGATCCCAGATTTGCCGGACTTTGTGGTCGAAAGGAACGTGAAATCAGAAATTGGATTTGCAGCCTAGGTAACCTTTCGCAAAAGCGCGCAATATGCATGACCGCCCTCAAGAAATGACGTGTCTTCTACTGTTTGACAAATTATGCGATTATACTGTGCAAAAGTTTGTGGTCGGCATTTCGAATAGCTAATAGCGACGATGGAACATATAAAACAAATCAAGAAAGACGCGCGTTGAGGTTGAAAATTATCTAATTAAGGTGTTCGGCTCAGTTTGCTCCAGTTTCGTAGCTCGGATTTTTTTATGTGACACGATCGAGGCCTGTCGCGTCTACAAGCGAGTTTGTAGAAAGATAGCAATTCATTTGTCCCTTCATTACTTATCTGCGTTTTAAGCAGGTACAATCTTCCAGTGTTTCAGATGTTTTCGGCAAATATTAAACAGCAACGAGGAAACTCTACGGAAATACTTCAACTGGAAATACCGCTGGATCATCTGACTAATTTCGGATCCACTGTGAATGTAACAGCGTAGATCACTAATCCGTTAATCTGGATTTGGATTCTTCTGAATTCAAATCCAATGAATCCTTAAAAGATTCACCAGATCAATCCGGATTCGGATGTGCCAAAAGGGACGCGAAATCCATTTTTGGATTCACCGAAAGGAACACACCCTAATGTTATACCCCACACCCCCTTAGTCATGACAGAACCAAACTCTCCCAGGGTAAGCCAGCCACATGCAAACAGCTACACTACAAACTGGCGAAACTCATTCGCTTTATGTAACCTTATGTAATAACAAAGCTTAATTACGAAAGGTACACTTTTAATCACTTGACTCCTCCTTGTTGCAGGGAAGGCCAGGTCAGTTTTTGATGGGTTTATTCCATCTGCAGACCAGCTCTTACCAGGGCAGCATATAATAGGGAGCTTAGGTAAACGACGACGGTGGTCAAATAGCAAAAGGTTTCTTAGGCAAAACAACAGCTCTGCACGCGCAGCACATTATTTTTTGTACTCCAGTCTTTGCCATCACTCACGACTATGACGTGAAATTCCCTTATGCGGCGTTTCATGGAGAAGCCTCCTTTTAAACTTAAGTTCGGTTTCCAGAACAACTCCAGGGAACTTAATTAACACATTACGTTTAATTTAAACAGCCAAAGCCGGGGGTTCGAAGAATTTACAGGAATAGAAGAAGGCTTTAACTAAAATAATTACAATACAATTAGATCAAGAAAGAAAAGGTCAGTTAGAAAAACTTACAACTAAAATACAATACAATAATTCACGTGCAATCAACACTTTAAACGATTTGAAATAGTCTTTCTACTTGTGATACTTTTCGCTGTTGTCGTCGACATCATTTCTAAAGTTCCCTATAAAAAAACCACCTTACGAAGCAGGCAGTTTTAACCTTGTAAAGAACGAAGTGACAAAATCGAAAGTTTTAATTTGTGCTTTGGCGTACTAATTTGAAGCGCAACTGATTATGTTATGACAAAAATGTAATGTATTCGAAGATTTCCTGATTGAAGTTTGAAGATTATTGATTTAAGATCGCTAGCCCGTTTGTACACCAAAATGAATAAAAGTTTTGTTAGTTTTTTGTTATGCCATCTTTTTGTAGTGCTTATAGTTTGGTTTTTGTTTTCCGCTGCTTTTTTTCCTTCAAGTAAAAGTATACCTTACGTTTTACTCGTCCGCCCTGATTAGCCAAGCCATTTGCGAGCAGAGAGGATATCTAAATTTCTGTAAACGAATGAATGAAAAATAAATGAACAAAATAGACGATAACAAGCTTCAATCATGCTTCTCGACAAGGCAGCATAGATTTTACTTACCAAAAAAAAGCGAAACAGATAGAAAACGCAAGTCATTCGTCATTTTAGTTGGATAGAAAAGCGATGACATGCCACAGTACACTTTATTTACCAAGCTGAATTATGGTAATCTTTTGGAGGAGCATAGCGATTTTGCCGCACTGTTGACTGTACTGAACATGTTCTCGCTTACATGACTGTCAACGTATTTCCAGTGGTCATTTTCACACAACTTACCTGAACGCGACGAAACACGATCACGGACTACCCAAAATCGTTTACATATCTTTATCATACGGGTAATGAATATTATATCAGTTGACAGAATGTTTTGACGGACAGTTTACTGACCTGATAGTAGTATCGAAAGTTAAAACATTTATTGTGCTCACTGCACCCCAGCTATTTATATGAGGGCTGTCAGATGTTAAGCGCGCGGTTTGATAACGACGCTATTGTATCACCACAATTCTTTCTTTTTTTAACCGAAAACCAACTGATGACAACTTCATGATTTACAAATCTTCCTCACATAAATGTGTTAAATAAACCATGACTTGACAGAATATATGACGGATCGTTCTACTAACTTGACAGCAGTATTGAAGATTAAAACATTTATCTCTTCACGTAATTAATACATAAGATGCATACTTCCAAGAGAACGTATCGCCAGCAGCCATGATTAGCTTGGCTAGAGCGCAAAGAGAAATGATTGGGAAAAATATTTTCAAATAAAAACTTTGGCCATGCATAATGGTCACATTTATTAAATTAACGCAAAAACCATAGAACAATAATTAAAAGTGATTGTTTTAGCTTCAACAAACACCCTTGTTCTATTATTATTTATTTAAATGCGTCTCGTGAAACCTCGCGGGGTGACCCCGGGAGAAATAGCACAACCAAAGGTAAACCCTGACAAGCGAGTTTAGAAACTGGCTGGGTGATTAGTGAAGTAGACTCCTATTGCTCTGTTTCCTCTTCTTCCTTTCTTTTTTCTATTTGTCTTATTTTGTTCTAAAATGCGTATAGCAAAGCATATTTAGTATTTCATAACTAGGTTGAATACGATCGTCCGGGAGTACGTATTCCTGAATAGGACTCCTGTTGTTGACAGTGACTGACGTTTCGACAACCTGTGCGGTAGTCATCTTCAGCACAGGATGACTACCGCACAGGTTGTCAGAACGTTACTTTTGGTTTCCCCGCGTACACAGGTATTACCCTTGTCAGAAGTACTGTGATACAGACGCGAGTAGATTAGTTTTATAGAAAGCATAGAGTGCCACAAAAAAGGACGGAATCACACTCCAGCGCGCAACCGGCCAACGCGTTGGACCGGTAACCTTGAGTAGGACACTTAATTAATTTCCTTAACGGGTTTTAATTGTATTGCCTTATGTAATGGCCTGTTTTTCTACACGAATTGAATTTAACAAGACACTAATTAGACGAGTACATGTTTTAAATCTCTCTATATTTTGAAGCATTTTTTGCTTGTCACGCACATGGGACAGCTTTTACACTTCTCCTCATCTGTAGTTTGAAACAACATCAAGAAAAGAACATATTTTTCCTACTGAAAACTTAATGAAAGGCATACAGGAAAATGAATACTAGTTAGTTCCATAAGACTGGCTGTACCAAACGAAAGTTGTATACTTCAAAACGTCCTGCCTAGATCACAGTTCTGCGCACATTACATCCCTTTTATTATTCATTCAAAATATTTCCCCAGTTCTGATTGGCTAAAAGCACACGCATAATTCACTATAACCAGTTACTGATGACCAAATTTGCAAGAATTTTGTGTTTAACGAGGAAATGACGTCAAAAATGCAACCCGCTACGCTACAGGTTAAGGCACCGTTACCAAGAAGACCTGGGGATGAGGTTGAGTTGTTTTGGTTGTGAAAAAAAAATGCGGACATTTCACTTCTTTCAAGACAAAGGAAAAAATAACGGATTCCCATTTTTGGATATTTTAGGGTATTTAAAGAATACCCATAAAAATCCCAGATTTGGCAAAGTGAGACAAGTCCCAACCAGGGAAGTCCCAACCAAGTTCCATTTGGGTCAAGTTCTTATCACGAAACGGCGAAGTTTTCAAAATATACACCAACTATCTATCCTGTCTAGTAGATAATCAAGTGTACAATTTGTTTGTTTGTACCTTGTGTCCTTGTTTGACTTCATTCCCACAATGAAACTGAGACATGCAAACTACAACGAAATTCCCGCTCGCTCGACACGCTGCAGAATCAGCAATTAGGTTACACTGAGTGGTAGCTTCATGAAGATGTCTTGATCAGCTGGGTTTAATCATATCTTGAGTGCACCATTTCGCAGTGAAATGACTGCAACTTCTGAAGCCACCTTCAAATCTTGCTGAGGATTAAGAAGTAGGGCTGTTGAAGACAGGCATCAGGGGCTTGTAGTCTATTATCACCTTAAACTAGCTTCTTTGCAAATACATCCGTAGGTGATGGCCGTCCCATACAATAGCCAATGCTTCCCGCTCAAATTGGGAGTAGCACCTTTCTATATTGAAGAGTGCTTTACTGGCATAGAAGATAACTTTGCTACTTTGGGTCAAAGGACCTAACCCAAGTGGACTGGTATCCACGAACAGAACAGTTTTCTTGTGAAGATAAATAAAAGTAATTAAGCCAAGCCCAAGTCTATCAGACGTGTATCTACACCTCAGCTGGTCTAGTGCTGTTTGGTGGACCTCTTGTCGCTTGAACTCAACGTCTTTGTGTGTGTCGGGGGGGGGGGGGGTTAGGCAAGGGAGAACTAAAGTCTGCATAGTTACGGACAAAACGTGACACATAGTTCGTAATGCCAAGCCGTTGTGCTACTCGAAGTGAGTTAAACGAGACACGAGGTATTTGAGCACATGTTCAACAACTCTATATTCAGTTTTAATGTTTACTTAAAAGCAAAGCTATTTGTTGACGTACCAGAGAATTGAAAATTCACCAGAGTTAGCTTGTGCTAGCGCTCGTATTTGCTGGCCCCATGGAGGTATAATTAAGTCACGTCGGCATTAATGGCTAGGGGCAGGGCTCTCATTCGTTGTGCTTTTTCAAACGAGAAACTTGACACTAGAGACCTGAGATTCTTCAAGGTGTTTTGCTCGGGGCGGAAAAGAAGAATGTAAACTTTGGGTCCGAACATGCAACCCAACAAACCGAACGAAGCTACTAACGTCGTTAAGCAAGACACGAGTATTAGATACCAGCTGTCATACGTAAACGCCACTGGGTAATATGCTATTGGTGACAACAATAGAATGTACATAGAGAATCCTATGTATTTTGCCTCGTTGAAGTTTTCAGGAATTCTTCGTCCTTTAAAAGCGTAATAAGCACAGAAGAGAGCCACAGTTAGTATGTAAAAAGAAACGGCAATGAACAGCGCAAAGCCGATGTTGGTTTGATAAGGTTTGCACACAAAAAATATGAACTCGTCTAAACGGATAATCTGTTCACGCCCAGGGGGATCGACTGACATCCATAGAACTAACAGAGTGATTGGGAGAACATTGAAAACAGAGATGAAAATCAATTGCCTTTTTAAAGTTTTATAACACGCTGTGAACAATTGAGCGACTTTGTCAACCTCAAAAACGCTTGTGAGGCGCATCATTTTCAAAAAGAGGACTGTGACACAAAGATTGAGAACAAAATAGCGCCAGATAGTTGTTGCAATGCAAAGTAAATGGCCTGGATCAGAGAGATCGAGGACTGCTAATATAAAGTGAGCTGAGATGCCAAAGAGCAACAGAACAGAGATCTCTCTGTTAGAAGCCTTAACGATTGGGGTGTTGTAAAACTTGATGTAGATGCCACAAACTAGCGACGTGAGAATAAAACCAATCGAAGCCACCACTGTTATCGCGATTCCAGAGGCGGTTGTGTATGTGATGTTAGCGACTGGTAGTTTTTCACACCTACTTTGCTTTTCGTTCGATTTCGTCTCTGGTTCACACTTTGTACAGTTGATGGATCCACTTTTCGTACTGACAGTTCCCTGTGGACACCTAATACACTCCCAACAACATGGCGAGGTGATTTCTCTCCTGGTACCAGGCAAACATTCTGATGAACAGAAGGATAAAGGGGTGGAGAAAGTTTTCCATCGTAACCTGGACATATTTATCTTCAGTTTTGGTGTGGCGTCTTTGTTCCAAGCACCAACCCAAATATTTTGGCGGGCCTTGCCTGTAGTTGAGTCAAGCTGGAAGTTTATGATGTCGTACGAAGCACTTAAAGGATCTCCAAACTTGTCAAATCGCACTTTGCCAGTCCAGCCGTCAAAACTAATATTTCTGAGATATTTTTTTAGATCGCTTCCTCTGACATTCGGCTTGATCGAGGGACAGGTACCTTTATCACCGGAACCATGTATATTAGGAGAACAGCTGTAAATGCTATCTAGAGCATATGCAATAGCATAAATGGCATCAATAAGATACGGAACGAAGGAGCTGCGTATCTTTTGTAATGCACGGTGTAAAGTCAGATTTCTCGGGCAAGGTGTGATCTCAGAATCATTCGATGTCGTGGCTGAACAATTGAACTGTAATCTCCAGAACTCTTCCCACCAATCTGTGCCTCTTTCAATGTTTTTTGCAGGGGTAATCATCTTGAGGTGCTCTTCAAAATAGGGAACGTGATAGTCACGTGGCTTTATTCCCAAAGAGCCGTTAAGTACTGTGAGGGTAGAGTCAAGAAATACCGCTTCTCCAACTGTCAGTGAGTCGCTAAGAATCCAAGTCTTTTCTTCAAGGCCTTGAGTATTTGCTTCCTTGAAAAATTGACTTCCGTAACCGACAGAAAGCCAAACGATGATCACTGCAATTTCAGTCTTGCGCTTAATCTTGAGAACAGTTTGCTTGATTTTCTCCTCATAGCCTAGCCGTGGTATATACTCAGAAAAAGCAATGCAAAATGTTTTCCGGTTGTATGATTCTTTTTCCAGGGACGAAATACCGCTATGGCCATAAGAATCATCCAAACCAACGGCCGCCACGTATGTCCAATTAAAGAGTTCTATGATGTCTGCCATGACCTCCGCTTGCCAATTGTCGGGTGGAACTGTTCTGAAGACGTCTTTGTACATTTGTGAACTCAACTCATCGCTTGTCGCACTCGGGCTGATGGCGGGAATGTTAGAAACCTGAAGAAGGCTTCCTACTAGTACCGCGCTTTCAGAACTGAAAGGACCCAGAAGCGCAGAGATAGTCTTGGTTCTGTTGTTTGTGACATAGCCATTGGGAGAGGTGCTGCCGTCTTGGGTAGATATGCACACTGGATCACTATCACGAATGAAGTCATAGGCTATTTCCATGGCTAATGCATTGCTTAGACAACAGTCTCTTAAATCGTAGCCGATTGTCACGTTGGGTAGAAGAGTGGAATTCTTGTTGATGCTCTCAATGACGTAGATCATAGCCTCCGCGTTTCCTAGTCCTATGCCAGAAAACTTGTTGCATTGATCACCAGTTTCCGAGTTACTGTAGTGGACATTGAGCATACCGCCGACCATCACGTCGCCATCTTTAAAAATTCTATACCCATCATAACAAGTTGTTAATTGTTGAAAGAACAGCAATATAAAGAGAGCCGGTCTTAAAATGCAGAAAATCACTACATTTTTCTTCCACCGCATTTTCTTTGTGTGGTTTGGCCTGAAAAAAATCACAATAGAAATATAGATTTAATCTTGCTAACCGTTTCAAATCGGCTTTGTGTCCACAAGTTAGAATAAAAGGAAAAAAGGCTCTGTTAATTTCGCGGCAAATCTTGTCTTCAATAACTCATTAATAATTCATAAGCCCATTGACATTATCTAGTGGTCGATAGTACGTCACGTGCCTGACATTATAACTGATAAAACCTCCCCTTAATAGTATGCGGTGTTTTATCAGATGTATTAAATGTCACTGCACATGACCAATGGATATTAATCATCAGCACAACAACTGTCACAACAAATGGTGGGTGAATAAAATTAATGTTCTTTCAAAATAACACTCGCAGTATATTTACTATTAAACTTTGTTCTTTCACCAATTTAATCAGCCAAAAATTCAGTGACTCAGCGGTAATAGCTATTGCAATGTGCAAGCGTTGCACTCTCGACTTGCCAGTTGTGAATACGCAAGGCTCGAGTACTGGATTTTTGTTTACCTACCATTCGGCCATTCAAGGAAATTGTTTTCAAAGACTTTTTTTTTCTGCACTTGTTGACTTTGGGGTACCATAAAACACTGCTGCTCGTTTATTAAACATTAATTAATGACACAGCTTTTCATTTTTACAATTTTCGTATTAAACGCACTATATTCGCTGTCACGCGAAGCGAAATAACAATTTGTTGCCATCTGTTTTGCAACAATCTTTTTCAAATTAAACTAATCAATTTATTCTTCAGCAATGGTTTCGTGGGGCATGGGTCGCACTTGGCAAATTTCTGGAAGAATTTGTTTACCTTGCGGTAAAAATCTGTCATCGGGGCACATTGCCAAGTGCGACCCCAAGTTTGCAAGTTGGAAAAAACTTTGAAAATCGCAAAAAACATCAAAGACGCCGTATTGCTTGGGTGGGGCAGGCAGATTTTGGAAAACTCGAGCTAAACAATAGGAATCACGGCGGTAAGTGACAGCACTTGTCAGCGAAACGTGACCAATTTGAAACACGATCAAGTTGAAACAATCGTAGAAATTTTCTGACCTTCGCGCTTTCGTTGTGGACGGACGAGGCTACCACTACTTTTCGCCATTTTAACGTTTTTGCGAAAACTCTCTACGACCGAGCAATTCATAAGCTTGTAATCCTTTGCTACCTTTTTACGGGAACTCTCTACCAAGGCAAGTACCGTCACAGTTTTGTTATTCTCCGAGCTAAATGCAGTCTTTGCAGCCAAGCATTTTATTTCCTTTATTTCTCCCATCCTCCTGAAACTTGGAAAGGAGGAAAACGATCCTACGCCAAATGATCAGACTACGAAGAGATAATGTTCTCTGGTTTGTACTGTCGCAATTTGTAATAATCATCGCACTTTGTAATACCTGTCGAAATTTGTGATAAATCCATCGCGCTTTGCAATATACCTGTCGCAATTTGTAATAAACCGTGTCGCACTTTGTAATAAAAAAGCTGTCGCAATTTGTAACAACTGTCCATCGCACTTTGTAATAAACTAAGCTGTCGCAAATTGTAATAATTCCATCGCACTTTGTAATGATTTTTTGAGAGTGATTCAACTTACTTCGTCAACATTAATATAATGCCAAAATATGCATGGTACTTCATAAACAAAGATGATGTTGTCTGCTAGCACGTAACATCTCCCTAACATTTTCTTTGGTCAAACATGCATGTCTTCAGCTATAAATTTTTCTGCCTTGATTAAACACGTGACAAACTAGAAACGTTTTTATGAAAGACATGAAACTTCCTGTGACATATCACCAAGAAGATATGAATCACGTATAAATTAAAAAATATTTAAATAAGAAAGGCAACATTTAACAACAGAAAATTCATGAATAACCTGGCATTCGTCGTCCAAATCCATGTTTGCTTGTCACGTGACACGTGAAGTCTCCGGCGGGAGCGGGGGGGGGGGGGAATAATCCCATATATGGATGGGCTAGATAGGTAAGTAACGCCTGATAGGGTATGGTTTTTGAGGATCTCGAGCTTTTAATAGGGTATCATTTTTTTACGTTGTTGGCCTTGTGTCTTTGGTTTGATCCTTAGATAGGGTAACTCAAGTAGTAATGGATGGTTTATTTCATCCTTTCAATTTGTAGAAAAACAGTAATCCAGAACACGCTTGGAAGAATTGCAAGGTCTTACGAGTTGTATATACGCAGGGAAGGTTAATTTTTTACTATCCCCATGGTATTTGCTTTAGAGGCCTCCTTACAGAAAACAATTGTTGTAAGATGGAATGAGAACTCCTTTTGTTCCTATATGGGACCAAATCAAGTGAGAATAAAGAACCAAATGCCCAGCCGGCTCAGTGTAAGACCCCAAGTGAGTGTTCTAAAAACAGGTACATGCGAAGGTATTGGCCAGCGACTAATTGGATTTTGTGTTTAGGGTTTTGTTGTGGTTCGACGGTTTGCCACTGGTGAAGTTTTTTTTATTTGCAGTAAACATTTTGAATCTTTCCAGGCCTCGTTTGATTAAGTTGGCCAAAATATGGAAGCCACTATTACTTCTTTAAGATTGCTCGTTAGACAAGAACGGTACGGTGTACCACGTGTTGTGTCAACCTCTTATAAGACCTAACAAGAAAAGCTTGAACTCTCCTGGTGTCCTTATTCGAATGATGTAGGATGGATTTTACGATTAGCGGAAATTAAATGCTTTTTAATAATGGCTTGTTTGTGTCTAGTGTGTTTAGCTCTGTCTAGATCCTGTACTCTGACAATGCTCTGTCCAGAGGCACATCCCCGTATTGCCCTTATAAGGAAGTAAACCCGCCGGGTAACCATTGAATGCAAGCCACCTAGTACAATAGCAAGGTTCAAGAATACAGCGTTTCGTAAGTCAGATAACTAATCAACATTAATCTAAAAAAATGTTTAGGACTGTGAATAAAGTTAAATGTTCGAACTAGCGGAGATGTTACGTGCCAGCAGACGTCATCTCCATCTTTCTTTATGAAGTACCATGCATATTTTGGCGTTATATTAATGTTGACGAAGTAAGTTTAATTACTCTTAAAAAGTTATTACAAAGTGCGATGGAATTATTACAAATTGCGACAGCTTAGTTTATTACAAAGTGCGATCGACAGTTGTTACAAATTGCGACAGCTTTTTTATTACAAAGTGCGACACGGTTTATTACAAATTGTGACAGGTATTACAAAGTGCGATGGATTTATTACAAATTGCGACAGGTATTACAAAGTGCGATGATTATTACAAATTGCGACAGTACACTGGTTTCTGGCCTACTTTAGTTCTCAATGTGTCAAAACAACGACAATTGACTCCCACTAAGTTACTAGTGCGACCCTCCTCGATTTGACTAAAAGTTTTCTCTTCCGGTTGCGGTTTCGAATTTTCGTGGTTTTTTAGCCGGCAAAGATGGAAACTTTTCCCAAGTGCGACCCATGCCTTGAAACTTGGCCGAGCAATTTGCATGAATTTGACCTAGTGAAGTCACTTGCCATTTGATACCATTAATCATTTGCCACTTTGGTAATTGCTCTGTTAAACCGGTATCTTGTAGCTAAAGTACCAGTTGTTTGAGAAACACAGCTGGGTATATCACACTCAGAGCTAGCTATACGGTTGTCATTTACGTAGATCAATTCCTGGTTATATAGACAGGAGCACAGGGGCGCACAAGAAGAGTGTTGCAAAAATAATAAAAAAAAAAAACAAAGAGATTTCGAAAACATTTGTGTGTTTTTCTTTGTTTCTACCAAAAGAAAGAGCTACACTAAAATAGATGTCCCTTATTTCTTCAGGGTCAAAGTGAGTTGTATCACGTCAGTTGATGGCCTTATATTCTGGTTGTTGATCTCAGTCACTGACAACAGCAACAGTCCTATTCAGGACTACGTTCACCCGGACGATCAAACTCAACCTACTTTTGAAATGACTCCTGGGTTCAAACCTTTCACAGATAAATATTCTTACTTGTTAACATAATATAGCTATAATATGGGAGCTCAGTGTTCAGCTGGTTTGCGTTATTCTTCATGTTGATTTTAAATTATTGGAAAGATGCGATCTTTTTACTCTCAACATCAAGGGTTAGAAAGTTCCTCAGCTCCAAAATAATTCTCTTTGCAAGTTAACCATTTTACAGAAGACAACTACAGGGGTTTTCTGGAGTCAGCATCAATTCAAACCCATTTATTTTCCTAGGGTACACCTTTAGCGAACCATTGCTGCTTTATACCTTAAACTAATAAAAAATCAATTCCCGTTGACCATTTCTGCCGTGTAGATAACAAAAGGCTTCACTGTCTAGTAGTTCGGGCCAGCGCGCTTAAGTTGAGTAACAGTTTCCTGATAATGTATAAAAAACAGCAAAATAACCAGCCGAGGGAAAAAAATTGCAATGCTGTCAAGGTGTCAAAACAATCCATTTAGGTGAAAAATACCGTACTAAGGTTATCACAAGGATCCAGACTTGGAATCCAGAATTTAACAAAGTGATGTTACATATCAAAAATGATATATTACTTACCTTGACGTTACTGTGTGAGAATTCTCTCCTCGGCACTAACAGCTTGGAGTTTTAAAAACAATTCAAACCGTTCTTTTTAAGTTCAGTTATTGGCTTCCTTTGTCATTAAGGTAAGAGGAACTATTATTTGAATTTCAAATTAATCGTAAGTCTTGTTAGTCCTTTGGTAAAATATCATTATTGATGACGTCATAGTAATTTCTCTTTGATATTAAAATTCAGAAAGTCTTTTGTCGAAATTGTAGGAACGTCTATTTAGTAAATAAGCCCCTTCCGGCGCCCGGTGCATCGAAGGATAATGCCTGCGGCGGAGAGATTGAATGGATTGAGAGATTGAATAATAAACATTTGCCCAAGAAGCCATTAATTTTTTAAATCTCCAACATCTTGGGAGAGAACAAAAACAAGAGGTGATTGGGCCAGGGCTTGACAGGCTGTCATGTCAAATGAACTCTTGCAGCGCTCCAGATATCAAAACTCGAAAACAAGGCGCTTTTAGTTTATATTTTAGCGACGGCACTGTTCGAAAACTATTAAAAGACACGTTTCTAATGGACAAGTAAATAGAATCCAACCATATCACTAAGTGCCGCCGTGAGGGCTAGAAAAGTAATTTCAACTATGAAACACAGAATCTGATAAATGTTGAGCAGTTGAAGGATTTAAGCTTACATTAGTGGACTGTTGGCAAAACCTAACTTTGTTGCTGCTGTGCTTGATAGTGGAAGCTGAGGAAGTCATAGAAAATAACGGTAGAGGAACTAATGAGGCCCAGCTGTAAGAAAAGGTTGAAAACTGACCGGAATTTACTTGAGTTACAAATCGCCTGATAATTGAAGATGACTCAAACTGTTGTTCTGTAGATAGTGGCGCACTGTACGACTTGATCGATTTATCGTTTTCATTGCCCGTTACGCTTTTCTCTCTCTTTTCTGCATGCTGTAACACAAAAATGGTTTATTTCAAACACTTTGTTTGTAGTATTCTTTTCCACAGCTGACAGCTATGACTGCCTAAAAGAGTGTATTCAAGTTTCTCTAGCAATTCAGTCTAATATTAATTTGTAAATTTTGCTCATCTTCGAAGCATAGGCTTATTTTATCCCTAGATTTCTTTGTATTTTTCGGAACTGTCAGTTGCGACTAGCTCAAAATGTTAGTGTAACTGGATTATAAAAACAAGCTTGTCTTTACAGCTTCCATTTGACATTATTAAAGAAGATAAAAACTGAAAGGAGACTCACATTGTTGACTTTGTCATGAATTCTTGCTACTAAAAAATCGTGGGGCAAATATCGACACGGAGGGGGTGTATTGCTTGATACCCGCCCTCCGATTTGGTACCACGTGACCCAAGATAGCAGTGGATTATAATGCTGATAACTTTTTTTTTCTGTTGTCCATTTAATACTTTCCGGCCCTGTTTTCCTTCATTGCAAGTTGACTTTAATTACATTAAACTTCCCCTAATGTTAAACTCCGTTTTTTAACGTGGTGCCTATTTTCTCGGCTATTTTTATGCGATTTTTAATTACACGCAAACTCTGAATTTTAAAAGCCAGCTCACAATTGCAATTTTCTCTGCCGTCAATCATAATTACGATCGCACCAGCAATTAATAGGCTTTTGTAAACTGTGTTTTTGTTTCCCACTGAAATACTCCACCTTAAATTGCTCTATTTCCACTAATAAAAATCATGCTCTGTCGCCTTAAAGGGTCATTAAAATACTCGGATAATAATGCTCATCATATAATGGATAGAGCAGCTTTTTTATTAATTCTGACCGTTTTAAGAAGGTTTAATGCTAAAAATACCTGTTTGACATCAATGTCGGATAATACCGCAAAAAATGACCTCTCATCGTGAAATATTAATAATGGATATCCGAGAAAAATAGTAATTTTCAAGAAATTTTCGCAAATACTCGAATAATTCTTGAACGCTTTAAAAAGCTTGAAAAACGTCAAGGTTTAATGTAAAAGCGCCAAATAAAAGGAACAGAAAAGATCACTAAAAAGTAACTTTCAATCAAAGACAAAGAAAAGTCGATGAAAAAGGTACAAAATGCGTGCCAAGTTTCGAAAAGAAAGAAAAATGAAGATCCACAAATTTTATTTACAGCAGTCCATAAAGTGTTTGTCTTTTGTCGGTGTGAATAATGAAAATTTTTTTTTTGCACACAACACCTGTCCAAGTAATTGCTGGTGGATGACAAATAGTTTTTTAAAAGAAAAATGTCCAAGACTACTCTGGGTGTCAACATTTCTTCAGCTACAAAGGGCACAAATGCCCATATACAAAACATGTAGCCCACAATAAATTTTACTGAAAGGAAGTACAACGGTGTGACAGAAAAAAAAACACGGTGTCAGGTTTCAAACGACGAATGCTTATTCAATTTCTTTTCTCTCATTAGCAAATGCTGATATTCAAGTCTGAGCAAGTTATCAATGAGTGAGGCTGATTATGATATTAAGAATTATGCAGATCGAGCGCGGAGGCAGATGCTTAGGCGGACGACACGCACTCTCCAAGATTTGCATAATACTTCATATCATACTATCAACGATTTTTTATCGTTTAGAATGAGTACATTTCCAACATAGCATCCTCACGCCTACGTGAAATTTTATCAAACATTTTGCCATCTCCTCGAAAGATGATATAGATGAATTTCCTTATGGCCTTTTCTTTCAAAATTTAGTTGAAGATAAAATAATAATAATAATAATAATAATTTCGTTATTTACCATTGATCTCGGCAGGCTGCTGGTAAGGCTAAGCAAACAACTGAAACAATTAATTCAAATAAACATAACATAGTTACCGAATCCCAACTGGTCAGAGGCAAACCAGTTGGCTATTTACAAGCGTGATGGATGATTTGAACTCCACACCCCCGTGAACAAATCCGGCCAGCAGTTAGGGCTTGACTTAAACTTGGGCCCACCGAATTGCAAGTCCAGCGCCTTAATCGCTTGGCCACGCTCCCTCCACACGTCCTTCTTGTGTCATTTTTGTGTAGTCTGGGTATATTTTTGAATAAATGATTAGGCCAATTTTTTTAGCATAGCTGTGAAATTCTCCGCCAATTTTTTTAGTTTTGTACTCCCAAAACTGAGCCTCTGAGCCGCCGTCCTTGTGTGACATTCTGCCAAAGTTACTACAGTTGAACCTCCATTAATCAGCCACCCTCTTTTAAGCGTCCGGTAATCAAAGTCTCGACATAATGGAAGAAAATAATTACAAATGAAACCTCCATTTAGCGGCCGCGACCACCTTTTCACCGTCCCAACATAACGAGAGTTTTCCCGATTGTTGTCATCACTATTACGTGGCCATCAAGGGCTCGTTACACTTATTTTGGCTTTCTTTCAAGAATATGATTAAGGAAAATACAGTCTGAGATAGAAAGCGACGACCGTTACCGGTAATGCTGCTCCCGTTGCGTAAGTATTTTAAATTGAAGTGATGTTTCTCCTAAAGATTATTTTTATTTATGACGAACCTCTACTGAGCGGCCAACCTCCATTAAGCGGTTCAACTGTGTTATTGGACGATTGACGTCAATTATCCAATAACAGAAGAATGCCAGCTGATGCAGAAGTGAGGATATAAGCCAATGATAAACGATGAAATAGTATATATTAATCAATAATTCAGGTTAGAGACTAGTGTGAGTACTTTGCCAGCAAATCAACAGATGCAATAACGCCTTACCGTAAAATGAAATTCAAATTCAAAAATTGCTTTAGGTGAGTTCAAGAAATTCACCTTCATTCTAAAGCCCGCAAGTTAGTTTATTTGAAGACTGAAATTTATCATCACCGGGGTTAAATTACGTCTGCGACGCAGGCTAGCCTCTGTGCTGAAGAGGTAAACAATTTTATGCCATTTTGTTCCTAACAAGGTCCAAACCAATTCTTCGTATTTATAGTTTCGCGATAGTAGATGGTTAATACGGTTTAACCGCAGTATTTACCCCACTCCAAGAGTGGAGGCGTTGACAATTAGGAGGCTTTCAGTTACTCTATAGAACAAAAGACACTGAAAAGAGCGGTCATTTTGTGTCCTTTTATAACAAATTCTAAGCAGAGGTCTATGTCAAGCCAATTTAGAATTTTCAGATGGGGAAGTTCGTTGCTAACGTTACGTTCCTTAGCGATTTAAGACGCGTTATAAGTGGCTATATTACGGCCAATGAACCAAACAGCCGTGACACAGCCCCTTATAATATGACCAGTAAACTGTGGAACCATAACAGGAGTCATTTAAACTTGGATTTCGGATCCCAATCGTTGGTGGGATTCCGGATTCCTTAAGCTGTATTCCGGAGAAGACAGACAATCCTATTGAGTAGATTTTTGACCTTTGATGGCTTATAATCTATGATAGTCGACGGTAGATGGTTGAGACCTCAATATTTGCAGCCGTTAATAGATGACAGTTATAGGCTCGACAATAAAATCAAGACTTAAGGCAATTTACTCTCCTTACTGGGTGTGAAAACGTTTTTAATATTACTGCGCGATACATTTCAGCTTAAAATCAATGACGGTATTTGGAAGAGGCTTCGGTGGGCTTTGGTAGAAGTGAAATGGACTTTGACAAATGCTGTCATTCGGGAACAAAATACATTGGACACTTAGTTTCCTTTACGGTTTTGAATTTGGAAGATTCTCGTAGACACGTTTACTGAAAGCAGTGACAAACAGAGCTTGCTTTCAGAAGCCCCTGTGTTTGCTGGTTCCTTAGCGGTATTAGTCACTCCAGCATTACTGTGCTTGGGCGAAGCTCTCGTTTCTGACATATTTTCAAACGAGAAACTTGACACTTGGGACCTGACGTATTCCACAGTGTTTTGCTGGGGACGGAAAAGAATAATGTAGACTCTGGGTCCAAACATGCAACCCAACAAACCGAACGCAGATACTAAAGTCGTTAAACAAGACACCAGCGTTACGTACCAGCTGTCGAAAGAAAACACCACAGGATAATATGCTATTGACGACAACAGTAGAATGTACATAGAGAATCCTATGTATTTTGTCTCGTTAAAGTTCTCGGGAATTCCTCTTGCTTTGAAAGCGTAATAAGTGCACAAGAGAGCCACGGTTAGTAAGTAAGAAGAAACGGTGATGAACAGCACGAAGCCGATGTTGCAGTAATAAAGTTTGCACACGAGAAAAATGTACTGGTCTAAACGGATGATCTTTTCACTCCCAGGAGGATCGACGGACATCCACAGAACTAGAAGAGATATTGGAAGTGCATTTAGAACAAAAATAAAGATCAATTGTCTTTTTAAAGTTTTAAAACAGGGTCTTGACAAATGTGCCACTTTGTCAACCTCAAAAACGCTTGTGATCCGCATCGTTTTTAGGAAGAGGACCGTTACACAAAGATTGAGAGCAAAATAACGCCAGAAAGTTACCGCAATGCAAAGTAAATTGCTGGGCTCAGAATGTTCGAGGACGGCTAATATAAAGAGAGCTGAGATACCAAAGAGCAACAGAAAAGAGATCTCTCTGTTAGAAGCCTTCACGATTGGGGTGTTGTAAAAATTGATGAAGATACCGAAAACTAACAACGTGAGAATAAATCCTATCAAAGCTATAAAGGTTATTGCGATTCCAGAGGCGGTTGTGTGCGTGATGTTGATGATCGGCAATTTTTCACACTTATTTTGCTTATCGTTTGATTTTGTCTCCGAGTCACATTTTGTGCAATTGGTGGATCCGATCTCAGTACTGACAGTTCCCTTTGGACACTTTATGCAGTCCCAGCAACATGGCGAGGTGATTTCCCTCCTGGTACCAGGCAAACATTCTGATGAACAGAATGATAGCGGGGTGGACAACTTTTGCCATCGTAACCTGGACATATTTAACATAAGTTTGGGTGTATCGTTCTTGTTCCAGCCTCCAATCCAAACATTTTGACGGGCCTCGTTTGTGGTTGAGCCAAATTGGAAGTTTATGATGTCATATGAAGCAGTTAAAGGATCACCAAACTTGTCAAATTGCACTTTTCCAGTCCAGCCGTCAAAACTAACATTTCTGATATATTTCTCTAGATCACTTCCTTTGACAGTTAGCTCGACCGAAGGACACTCATCTCCCTTGCCAACACCATGTATAGTAGGAGAACAGCTGCTGTAAATGTTATCCAGAGCATGTGCAATAGCATAAACAGCGTCTATGAGATAGGAGACAAAGGGGCTGCGCACCTTTGATAGGGCATGATGTAACGTCAGATTTGTCTTGCAAGGTGCGATCCCAGAATCGTTGGATTTCGTGGCTGAACAGTTGAATTGTAATCTCCAGAACTCTTCCCACCAAACTGTTCCTCTTTCAACGCTTTTTGCGGGGGTGATCATCTTAAGGTGCTCTTCAAAATCAGGAACGTGGTGGTCACGTGGCTTTATTCCTAAAGATCCGTTAAGTATTGTGAAGTGAGACTCAAGAAATACTGCCTCCCCAGCGGTTAGTGCGTCGCTAAGTATCCAAGTCTTTTCTTCAAGGTTTTGAGCTGTTGCTTCTGCAAAAAACGCTCTTCCGTAACCACCAGAAAGCCAAACGATGATCACTGCGATTTCAGTCTTCCGTTTGATATGAAGAACAATTTGCTTGATTTTCTCACCACTGCCTAGTCGTGGGATATACTCGGAAAAAGCAATGCAGAAGGTTTTTCTGTCGTAGGACTCTTTTTCGAGCGCCGAAATACCGTTCCGTCCATAAGAATCGTCCAAACCGACAGCCGCCACGTATGTCCAGTTAAAGCGCTCTATGATGTCTGCCATAACCTCTGCTTGCCAGTTGTCTGGTGGAACTGTTCTAAAAAAATCCTTATACATTTGTGAACTCAACTCTTTGCTTGTTGCACTCGGGCTGATAGCAGGAATGTCGGAAACCTGAAGAAGACTTCCTACTAGCACCGCACTTCCAGAACTGAAAGGACCAACAAGTGCTGAGATGGACTTGGGTCTGTTGTTTGTGACGTAGTCATTGCGTGATAGGCTGTCTTTTTGATTAGAAATGCACACTGGATCACCCTCACGCATCAAGTCATAGGCTATCTGCATGGCCAATGCATGGCTTCGACAACAGTCTCTTAAGTCGTAACCGATTGTTACGTTCGGTAGAAGAGTGGAGTCCTTGTTAATTCTCTCAATGGCGTAGATTATAGCCTCTGCGTTTCCTAGGCCTATGGTAGAGAGCCTGTTACATTGATCACCAGTTTCAGAATAGTGGATATTGAGCATACCACCAATTACTACGTCGCCATCTTTATAGGTTTTGCAGTCATGATTAGAAGTTGTTTGTTGAAGAAACAGCATTATAAGGAGTGAAGGTCTCAAGATGCACCACAGCACTTCCTTTTTCGACCACGTCATTTTTTTGTGCGGTTCGCCCTGAAAGAATCATCGAAATAAATTTAATCTTGCCAACAGTTTCAAGGAAGAACTTTTTCCGCAATTAGGAATGATTTGCACCCAACTACGGTCAAATAAAAATGATCAAAAGTGAAAAAGAAACAAGAAAAAACGAGAGTAAGATGTAGGAGTCGACTTTTAGGTGTCATTGTAAGGACAGTGTCAAGACTATAACTAAAGTGACCAATAATTCGAATAAGCATATCAACAAAGTTAAATTCCCTTAAACAAACACCTAAGCACTAACGCATTAATGCAGGTAGCGCTTCAACGTGTATCCTGCACTACACAGGTTACATTGAAACTTATAAGCAACACAACAGGGGGCCTTGTTTCTCGTACTTTAAAGTAATTTTTTTGTCAAATACCGTCTTAACAGTTGGCTTAAAGGTTAAAAACGTGATCCAACCGATGTTCATCAGCAACAAATTAAATGAAGACCTTAATGTGCAAGAAATCAAGCCTACTAATGTGCTGTTTATGCTTCAATGTAACCTGTGTGATGCAAGATACAATTATGGGATACAATCGGTGCCACCTGCATCAACACGTTTGATGGTCGCAGACAGAAATCGTCACCCATTTACAAACACTTTGTAAATGAACACGATGCAGCAACACCAAACTTATGTGCCTTCGTGACGAGTTGCACGTGCTTGAAAAACGCAACACAAAGTTCACTGTCTCATTAAATAGATATTTTTTATTCGCAATCATACACCGTCCTTGAACTAGAAAATTGACTCGTGCATGCTAAAGTATTTGTTTAAGGAATTTACCTTTGTTAGCATGCTAATTATTCTAGGCTCGAAACTCTTTAAATACATTTGAATGATTTATGTTCTATATAGTTTATATGGTAAAGGCGTTACGATGACATCAAAACGTCGCCATTTTTCGCTCTTATTTACCTGTTTCTGTTTTACTAAAAAGAGAAATAATTAAAAAAAGGGGAAGCGTAACGGTGGACAAGAGAAAGAGGGAAAGGCGTCTCCTTCTCTGTTTGTCCTTCCGATCTCCCTCCCTGCGCTGCGCTTTATTTTTACTCTCTCCCTAACCCCACTAAGACAAAAAGAGGCCTCTGCGGAGGAAAGAGCCCATAACCTAATTCTTTTTTATTTTTCTATTCAAAGTACACATTACTACGAGAACCTCTGCGAAAAAGATTTGAACCCAAAGAGATTTTTTACAAGAATGGTTTTGAAACGTCCAGATTTCTTTTGTTAATTCAGTGTAAATTAATTGCAAATTGGTAAAGGAGGTTTCGACAGGAATGAACCTCCAAAATTGTCATTTACTAGAAGTATCAATCAGTCGGGCTAGTGGCACGTTTAGATTCTTTACTACCCAACTGGCCATCTCATCTTTTAAAACTTGTTCAAAATCGTTCACTTATAACTGGTTTCTTAAGAACGTCAACCCACAGGGGTCCTTCATAGAAGGATTTGACGTTAGGTTGGAACATAGTACCAAGAGTTTCTTACAAGTACGAAACCAAACTCACTAGAAAATAGAGCAACGTTGGTTTTCACCTCGAAGCCACAAATGTAAAAATTGACGTAATAACCCCCACAAATGTAATAAAAATTGAGCACAAATGTAATAATGCACTCAAATGTAATACAAATTGACCGCAAATCTAATAAAACCGGCAAATGCTATTCAAACCGTATATCCTCGACAGAACGCCGCCCTCAATATAAGTCGGACAAAATAAGCGCCTTGGCGCTCTTTCGAAAAACACAATATCCTATCGCATTTAATCGAAAGAGTGTCACCCCGAGTAGCCTTGGCATCAAAATACAAAAAGGCGCCGCGGCGCTCTTTCGAGAAATACAATTTTTTACTGCATTTAATCAACATGGACTGACTTTCGGGACTGAATAATTGCTTAATCAGTGGCTGAGTTAAGTAATTTTTCATCAAATGGTTCATATTGCATTGCCATACGGTCTTGTCCTGTAGCGATGCATAAAAAATATACACTAGGCGAAATTTGTTGATGACTTTTTAATTATCTTGTCTAAACAATTCGGATTGAAAACATTAAAAATAGATAAGGATAACTTAGAATCTCTGTGGTGGGAGGTATACGTAGTTGAAAACGGAAGTGATTCAAGACGGACGTCATCAAGTTGTTTGAACGCCATATGGTGGTTTTCGGTTGAGTGTAGAGGTTTTCGAACATTCCTCTGACAATATCGCGCACGCAACAGTATTTCAAGTGCGGGGCTGCTGCTTTGTATAGAAAAGCAGGATCGAGGAGGTCCATGGTAGGTCGTGGTGCTACAGGCTCCCATGCCCCTTTGTTTTAGGTTTGCGACGCAGATAACAGATTTCGTTTGGCAAAGAACAAAATGATATATCCCCAAAAAGAAACACTCTGAGACACTTCAACAGCCATCTTGTTGTTATGCAGGTTCATGTGACTACAGGTCGGATGTTTGTAAGCTAGGATCAATGCAGAGGTTAGCCTAATCTTCAGTTTGGCGTCCACCTTATCATGAAGAACAATTTTACTTACAAAACTCACGCGACAAAGGTTGCATGATATTGCTGCCTTGATGATATGTCCTCATTGAACCAAAAATATAGCTGATTTGAACGGATGCCAAAGAAAGAACATTTTCGTTTGCTTCGTACTTTGGCAACTTAATTCAAGAGCTGATTGCAATGTATTAAAACATCGTTAACCTCTAAGGTCAGAAAAAAATGTAATAATGAATTTCTTACTGTTTGAAAAACGAGCATGAGTCAAAAACCTGATAATACCCTACTGCGAGTTTTTTGAACGGCATCAAAATCCCTGATATAGATTAACTCATTCTTACACTAATATATTTAGATTTGTGGTTATTTTGGTGTTAAAAATCTGATACAAATACACTCATTAAACATTAATTTACTTTGTTTTTTCTTTATGAGTTTTTTAAGTGCTTTTTATGTTTAGCTAAATACCTCTGCCAGCAGTGGTACATGTACGCCAGTCAATTAGAGGAAAAGTAACCTCTACTCACCTACAATTGTTATTCTTTTCTAATACTTGTATTAATCTTTGACTAGTAGTACCACTCACGAGACAATGGTTGCACGATATTGCTACCTTGATCGTTATGTCCGCATTGAACTAAAAATAAAGCTGATAGAAGAATGAATGCTAAAAAAGAGGGATTTTCCTTAGAAGGATTTTCCTTGCTTAGTTTCGTACTTTGGCAACTTAGTAGTTCAAAAGCTAATTGTAATGTATTTATACATCGTTAACATCTGAGATCCGGATAAAAAATAAATTTCGTTTTTTTTTTATGCTTAGCCAATTCTCAACGAGCAGTGGTAGTGCATGTACGCCAGTTCATTTCGAGGAAAAGTAACCTCTGCTTAATACAATTGTAACTCTTCTATAATACATGTACTAAACTCTAGAAAAGAGAAAAGGTATCTAGTGAAACTGAACAACTTAAGGAAATATTATATCTTTCTGAAAATAACAATAATAATAATAATAATAATAACAATAATAATAATAGTGAGGCAAACCAGTTGTGGTCGTAAATTTGAACTCGGGACTGCCGAGAACTAATCTAAACTAACTATATTTGTTATTATTACGACAGAGTAGCCCCGTGTAGAGGAGTCGTAATAAAGTGTATTGTATTGTACTACAAGTCCAACGCTTAAACCGCTCGGCCACACTAGCACAAAACTTAAGGGGGCAGCCCCTTGGCCCCTCTTCCTGCGTCTTCCCTGCACAAGCAGACCAAGCTGGAGTTGAACATATAGGAAGACAAACGGGCTCTGTCTGCGGTGTCCCGCTGTGTTCGTGGGCGTTTAAGAGTTTACGTTGGAAGTCGCATACGCTGCAGCTAAATTTTAGAAAGCGGCGACTGTTGATTCCTCTTTTTATTCCACAAAGTCTATAAGTTCGTGGCAACGGTTATTATAGCCAAATTCGTTGTATCTCGCTACGCGTTTTGCAAACTTTGAAGGAATTTTGGGTTTTCTGTTCCGTCAATCATCTTAGAGGACCTCGATCCACTTTGTTTGTTTCTGTGTTTCAAGGTTTCGCCCATTGTGATCGCCCTGTCTCGTACTATTTTGGGCAATGATCGACTAGTTTTCGTCGAAGCTTTTTATGATCTTTCTTATTATTGTCTCTTACAAGAATAAAGCAATGTCTACCTCCTTCCTTCAACAAAAATTCCACTCATCATCGCGTTTTCCTTCGTTATTCTTGAGCAGTTTAGGGTCATTCTCAATTTTGTTTCTGCGCGCCAAGCTGGGCGAGTGCGTTGAAATGTGATTGCATTAACTGCACCCCAATTCAAATGATTTACGGAACAGAAAAACCCATTTGAAGTTTGCAAACACGCAGCGCGATACAACGAATTTGGCTATAAGAAACCATCAGTGGAGCAGAGGTGACTTTAGAATTAAGGAGAGGTAAAATGGGCCGTTGTATTTCTGTAAGTAGGATTGTAGTATTTAAAGGCATTGGTGCTTGTCAATCAAGGGTTTTGTACGGAGAGAATGTTGTGTATAACAGATACAGTGTTGGACGAATTGTTTGCAAGTTCTCGTTTAGCAGGTGGCCATACAACCATATGGGAAAATAATCTACTGCAACACAGCAGCAGCGGTGGTATTTACCTTTGTTCCGCAGAAGATTTCAGGACATTCCTCCAGAAAATTCTTCAGCACACAGCGATCGATTCTGTCAACTGGATCACACCGTTCCTCTAACAACGAACTTGGAAAAAAACAGATGACGATGCTGCGGTTACTCACGAGAAACACTATCGACTATTTTTGAGATGAAAAGCCATGTAACTCTCAAAAATAAAATACAACCACAAGAAATGATCAACATCAGTTTATTCTCCCCAAAACGAACTGCGAATATAGTGAGCATTATCCCTTAGGGGTGTTTTTCCTGTCCCAATAAAGCAACATGACGTAGATCTTAGAATAAACAACTTCCGACAAATTTAGTTTGGGCATTTTTTTCCCGAACCGCCTATTCCGCCCATTATTCTCTCTCTTCTAATAAAGGCCTAGGGCTATATTGCCGGCCCTGTTCGAATCCTTAAGTATATTAATTAACACGTCAACCCAAAAGGTATATCCTTCAAAGTTTTAGGTGGTAAAAATAATACCAGTATTTAAAAATAATGACCCAAATAACTGCAGACCAAGTTCACTTTGTCTAATATTTATTCTTTATTGATGAACACATTATAATCTCTCAGTCTCAATATGGCTTTAAAGCTTATAGGAGCTGTTCCAACCAACACAACCTTATTAACATTGTCAATAACACACAAGTCATGATATTGATAAGAGATTAATATAGTCCTGTGGCGTATTTAACGATTTAAAAAAAGGCCTTTTACACTGTAGACCATTATATATAGTGGTTATGTACGTCTTGGCTGATGGGAAACAATTAAATCTCCAAAATCAAATTTTGTGACTATTTGATTGTAACTAATTAAAAACAAATTGATTTCATTGTAAATATAAAACCCTAAGACGATAATGAAAATTCCTTCATTTCCTTACAAAGGAAAGACTATGATAAATACCTTTTCATTCTTTTTGACTCAAAGCTCACTTGGAAGCATCACCCCGTGAAGCATTAAAGATCAACAGCATGATCTCTTGGAATTCTTGCAAAATTTAAGACATTACATCTTCCTGGCACTATTTCTATGGACATACATCGATCTTTGATCCCACCCCGTATATAGACTATATTGCTATGTGGAGCCAAGTTGCTCAAATACATCTGGGTGAACCGGATGATTAAAATTATACAAAAAAGCCCTCCAATATTAGTTGAATGCATGCCCACTGCGCACCATCCATATCGTCCCACTGGATTTTTAATCTTTCAAATCAATCTGATCTGTTTTATTATGCATTGCGTCTCCGATAGGACAGAATAGACTACTAGGTTTCAAAGACTTGGGGAAATAATCTTTGGAAAAACACATTTTATAGATTCAGTGTAAGAGTATAAAGTGGAATAGTATTTCCTTTCTGAATGAAGTTGAACCCTCTTTTACACAAAGGCTTCTTAAAATGAGCCTATTCTGCTTTTCTAAAATTGTAGGATTAATTTAGGTTTACACATCCACTTTTTAGATAAATTAAGAAACTTGCCGGTAATGTACATCTGTCAATTATTTTGAAATATTTTGTATCTCCTTGTAACGCTTAAATATTTTGTTTTCTTTTCTCTTTTTTTCTTTTCCAGTGTCGATTAGCTTACAAAAGCTGTCATTGCCAAGAGAAGATATTTAAGGGCTATTTACAGGACAGCAAAAATGGATCCACACCCATCAAAAAAAGTGGTGCAGGTACTGCTAAATGTTATAAAGAAACACTGGAGTTTTCACGGTGCCACAGGTGCCTATAGCCCTCTGAAAACGCCAGTTTTTTTTAAATATAAATTTAGCAGTTAACTGTCCCCGACTTTTTGACGGGGTCTGGACCAGATTTTTCTTTAGTTTAAATTTACCTTAAAATTTGTTGTTGTGTTAACGAGTAAATAATGGATAAATACGTAAATAAACGTTTCTCACGTTTTGAATACGCTACTCTACTTCAAATGGGAAAAGGCAAGCTTTCCGTCACCCGAAAAACCTAAACTTTAAATATTAGAGGCTTCGAACATAATAAGAGGTATTGGCAAGCAATATGTTGCTATGAATTGAATTTCCGATAACCAAAATTAGATTACCAGGAGAACGTCAACAGAGGTAAGTGGTTACTATGTTTTATCAACAAAACATACTCTCAAACATTTTGAATTAGAAAGCCAACTTTTTTCTCAAAACAAGTGCACACAACAGGAAGAAATTATCAGCATCCTGGGCTCTCCAAAAAAAAGAACAATGTGATGAATATAGAGGTAAACCTAAAATATGGTTATCGATATTTAATCCTGCACTAATCTCAAAATAGACTATCAGCAAAAAAAATATTTCTTACGTTTTGCATCAGTACAATATCTACTCGTACAAAACGAAACGGGAAGCGTTGCCTCCCCTGCATTGACAAATGATTACAGCAATCGTCACAACAAATATTTCTCGAGAAACTCTTGATAAGGAATCCCGTTTTGTCCATTTCTAGGTATTTTGTTGGACAATTAAAAAAGCATTGTTTTCTTACGTGTTCTTGACAACTTTTGGGGTTTAGTGATATTAACCCTCTGAGGCCTTAGCTCCGGATATGATGTTAAACGAGAAATTCGACACCTGCGATCTGACGTAATTCACGGTGTTTTGCTGGGGACGGAAATGAAGAACGTAAAATTTGCGCCCGAACAAGCAACCCAACAAACCAAACGATGTTACTAATGTGGTAAAGCAAGACACCAGTGTTACGTACCGGCTCTCAAACGTTAACACCACTGGGTAATATGCTATTGATGAAAGTAGGAGAATGTACATAGAAAATCCTATGTATTTTGTCTCGTTGAAGTTTTCTGGAATGTTTCTTCCTTTGAAAGCGTAATACGTACACAAGAGGGCTACAGTTAACGTGTAAGCGCAGACCGCGACGAACAGGGAGAGCCCGATGTTGGTCTCAAATGGTTTGCACACAAGAAAGACGTACTCTTCGAAGCGGATGATATTTTTACGCGTTGGGGGATCGAAAAAGATCCACAGGGCAAGTAAAGAAATGGAAGCTAGATTCATGGCTGAAAGAAAAATGACTTGCCTTGTAAAGGTTTTGCAACACGGTGCAAACAACTGCGCCACTTTATCAACCTCAAACACGCTTGTTATTCGCATCGTTTTCAGAAACAGAACTGTGATACAAAGGTTGAGAGAAAAATAGCGCCAGAAGGTTTTGGCACTACAAAGAGAATTTCTGGGTTCCAAAAGTTCAAGAACAGCAAGAATAAATAGGGATGAAATTCCACACAGCAACAGACAAGAGATCTCTCTGTTAGAAGCCTTCACAACTGGGGTGCTATAAAACTTCATGTAGCTGCCGCAAACTAACAATGTGAAAACAAATCCGATGGAAGAAATCCCCGCTAGGATGATTCCAACGGTGGTTGTGAGCTTGATGTTGACGACTGGTAATTTTTCACACAGTGTGCGCTCCTCGTTTGGCTTTGCATCTGATTCACACTTTGTGCAGTTGTCAGATCCGTTCTTGGCGCTGATTGTTCCGTGTGGACACCTAATGCAGTCCCAACAACATGGCAAAGTCATTTCCTTTTTGGTGCCTGGCAAGCACTCAGATGAACAGAAAGATACCGGATTTGAGAATCTTTTCCATCGCAAAAGTGATGTATTTAGCCTGAGTTTAGGAATTGCGTTCTTGTCCCAAGTCCCCACCTGCACCTTTCTGAGATATTTGTCTGTGGCTGATGAACGTTGGAAGTTTAAGATGCTGTATGATGCAGACAAAGCATCCCCAAACTTATCAAATTGTACTTTTCCAGTCAAACCATCAAAACTGACGTTTCTGAGGTATTTCTGTAGATCACGTCCATTAACGGTCGGATGGATAGAAGGACAGCTACTTGCATTCCGAAAACCTTTTTCAGCGATACAGCGGTAAATGTTATCCAAGGCATATGCAATGGCGTACACAGCATCAATGACATACGATACAAAGGAGCTTCGTAACTCAGAAAGCGCATGGTGAAACGTGAGATTTGGTTTGCAAGGTGCAATCCCTAAATCAAGTGATTTGGCAATTGAACAGTTAAATTGTGATCTCCGAAGTTCTCCTCGCCATTGCACGCCACCGTCATCGCTTTTTGCAGGTGTGACCCTTTTAAGATGCTGCTCAAAAGAGTGAACAGGATAGTTGTACGCAACTATTGTTAGAGAACCTTCAAGCAATTTAAAGCCGGGATCCAGGAGAAATGTTTCTTCGATGCTATTTCCGTCTGTTAGTATCAAGGTCTTTCCTTGCATTTCTATTTTGCTTGCCTCAACAAAAAATGTTTCAAGATATTTGCCATAAAGCCAAACGATGATCACTCCGATTTTAGGGTGCATCTTAAGTTTGGCAACTGTCTGCTCTATCTTCTCGCGGTGGTCTAGGCGTGGGATTAAGTCATAAAAAGCAATGCAGAACGTGCTTCTGTTGTACGACTCTTTTTCCAGCGCCAAAATCCCATTAAGTCCATAAGAGTCATCTAAGCCCACAGCCGCCACGTATGTCCACTCAAAGAGGTCTATGATGTCTGCCATGGCCTTTGCTAACCACCTATCAGAAGGGGCCGTCCTAAAAAAGTCTTTGTAAAATTGTGAACTTAACTCTGTACTAGTTGCAGTTGAGGTAATGGCGGGAATGTCACAAACCTGAAGAAGGCTTGCCACTAGGATTGCGCTGGCGGAATTGTAAGGACCAATAAGTGCTGAGATAGGCTTGGATCCCAGCCACCTATTGAAACTACTCTTTACGGATGTTGTGGAGTTCGATTTATACATACATACTGGATCGCTACCACGCATGAAGTCATAAGCTATCTGCATGGCCTCTGCACTGCTGTCGCAATAATTTCTTATATCGTAACCGAGGGATACGTTTGGAAGAAGAGTGGAATTCCTGTTTATACTGTTAATTGCAAAAACAACAGCTTCGGCGCGTCCAAGTTCTTTAGCGGAAAAGTCACCCCATTGATAATCGTTGCCAGCCATGTTAAGACTAAATAGGCCACCTAACATTACGTCGCCGTCTTTATAGGCTCTCAACCCTTGGGTGCAAGATCTACAGTGCCCAAATAGCAAAACGAACAGAGGCAGTCGTAGGACGCAGAGGAAAGCCTCTCTTGTCCAAGTCATCGTCCTTATCCTCAGTGCCGCCTGGAATAAAATGATCGTTATGTTAAAAATTATGTTATGTAGCAACATTTGCTACTGACAAAGTGTGGTGTCCGTGGGATATAAAGCTGCTGCTCTCCAGAATAAGCCAAACTTTTGTTTTACATCAAGAGGTCCTTTTCAAAGGGGTTATCCGTGATGTGCGCGCGAAGATGAGAGCGATTTTACCTCGTAGAAAATTAACGTCCACTTTGGTTGAAAATAAAGTATATTAAGACCAGGTGAAAATGTGAGAGTAAATTATTAATAATGTTTATTCGTTCTTAGGGTGCTCTTTAATTGAAAAGGAAATTAATGTCAAGTGGGTAGACTTTCGGGCACCTTCAATAAAATTTCTGTTAGCTTCTGAGGCTAGAAAACAAAGATTGATGGAGTCGCCATTAGATGTTTGTTTTTAAGGCGAAATTCCCCTAAATTGTCTTCCTTGCAATTTATCTTAAAATTGTGCCGTTGAAAAGCATTTCAATAATGCAACTGAGACAACTGAAGCTTTTCCACAATAGATCTACAAGTTATATTTCCCTTAATGCATGTATAACGTTGTATATAGTTTATAAATAATATTGGAATTGGTATATAGCATATTTTATTTTATTTTAACATATTTGCTCGAAGATATTAGCTCTACAGCTACTCTGTAAATTTCGAGCATAAATAAAGTACATGTATGTATGTATTTATGAGACAAGTACTCTCACACATTGCTTGCGTGACCAACTGGACCAACTACTATAATTTTAATTAAAAAAATCTATTGCCTGTTGTTATTCGTTTCGTTAAGAACAATCATTCCCTTTGAAAAATTCATGCAATTAATTTTTTGCTCTTATTATTTCAACCTCTCGTTGTCGTCACTTTTTACATTGCCGGGACAACTTCGTTATTAACTAAAAAGCATTTTTTCCTCGTCTTCTATTTTCTTACCGATATATTGAGGATCATCACAATTGGCTAAGAGGGCTTGTCTGAGGTTTGATCTCCGAGGCCAGACCGGTACTCAAGACGTTAGAAAACCCTAGAAAAATTAAAGTACTTCCTTCGTCCCACAAAAAGCCCAGCCATGTGACTGATTACGTATAAATAGAGGGAACTGACAGAGATGGCCTCTAAAATGTCACCTTCTCGAGAGTCAAAAGTTTTATTTTGCCTCTTTTCCTCTATTCCTACTTTTTTTACATTTCTTCAATTAACTGTTACATATTTATTCGATGTTTTGTATTTGTCTTTCTGGCAGTTAATATAATCATGCATCATTATTTCCTCCGTTTCCTTTTTCTTTAAATTTCTCTTTGCAACGACTTTAAACAACATGGCCCAGCGTGTATGTCAAGGGCTAAGCATTGGGTAGGCAACAGCAACAACAAAAACAAACTATTTTTTGCCGTTTCTCCTCTAATTCTAGGCAAATCGTGTCCATGATTACCAATTATGGTTCGGTTTTAAATGATGTTATGAGTGAAGAATGAAGATTTCGCCGGGTTTTACTGATTAAGGAAGAGAACGTCCAAACAGTGGCCTCAATTTGTTATCATATCCTTTGCAATAAGAATTGACATTGGCACAGGCTTTTTTGCATTTGTTTTTCCTTGTATTGTTGCTAACCTTTGTAAATGATATCATTTTAACTCTTTCTTGGATTAAGTGCGTTCTGCTTTTAATTACAAAAGATGCTCTGCCATTGAACCTTTCGAAAACAACATCTTTCCCTTCAGTACCCAATATTTTATTACCTTTAGTGGCCACAAGAATATGTTTTCTTCACCTTTCAGGCTCAAAAATTTTCTCTTTTAAGTGTCCCAATTACAGTCAGAAATTAAGAAAACGAAAAAGCCCTCGATTTAATCTTTAGCTAGAATCAGTTCACTGCCTCCAAGTAGAAAATTAAAAACACTTGAAAGTGACAAAAATGATTAAACCATTCTATGCTAACAAAAAAGCATCACCCCTGCTTCAACTGTCATTAATGCTTCATGAATAGAAAACAAAGGAAATGCCCACCGCCATGTTTTGTTTTTTAGATAATTATATATATTGGACAATAATTACCGCTTGATAGCAATCGGAAAACAGCACGGGTACCTCTTAAGTCACTTTCGTGTTTTATTAAATGGCGGTTGTAGGGTCTGCATGTGTTCCTCCAGGAGCCACGAAGCTCTTAGAGACTTCTATTTCTTTGACCTTGGAAAACGCATTGTTATTGTTATTGTTTTTAGGGCCAGGAACATCGTTTGGGTCATTCATCTATTGTTGCTATCGGATCTAAAAAAACTTCTGAGAGCTCAGTTCCATCCTATTGCTCCGTTTTGTTCACCACCGTTATCTGTGGGTGGGAAGAGTTTATTTTGATTTATTTTTCTTTTGTCATCCCTTGGTTAGCTCTACTGTGTGAACCATTAGTCCTTGTCAGATATGGAAACTGTTCTAACCTGTCATTGCTTTTGGGGCCAGTGACATTGTTTTGGGTCGTTTGGGTCATCTATTGTTTCTAACCTTTATGTACTTAAATAAGTTTCTGAGAGCTTCACGGCCCCCATTTGGTCCGTCTTGTTCACCACCGTTAGTTATGAAGGGAAAACGTTAATTTTGGTTTATTTTCGTTAAGCTGTTTGAAAAGCTCTGTACGAGCATGTGCTTGTAGTCTTTTAGGCCGTCGCTTGCAACAACCAACGCACCAAATATTTCCTCGTCAGCCCTACGTTAGTTCTTCTGTCCGGACCTTTAGTCCTTGTCCAGTAATCCCCTGTCAACGGTTGTAAGCTCCCGATAGCACCTGTCAGTTCCTTACGGCTCATGTCAGTATCTGGCCTCTCTTTTCAGTATCTGGCATTTCTTGTCAGTCCCTTTAAGCTCCTGACCAGCCTTCCCCTGTTAGCCCTTGTCGGGCCTTGATAACCATTCTGCAACCTTCTGCTAATCCGCACTTTACTCTCAACCAAGACATCATCACTTCCCAAGCTTGCATTAGGCCCTTCAGGTTAGATACCTAAGGCAACCGACTTCTGCCCAAAATGGGAAAAAGCTAACCTGCATCAGGGCATTTTTGACCCGGCGTTTTTTCGAGGCCGTTTATTAATGAACGTTTCTGTCACTTTTTTTCAGGTTTTAGATTTTTAGATCATATGGATTTTAGTCTATGATCAATGGAATGTAAATTGGTGATATGACGATTACCGCTTAAAAGTTAGCCAAGAGTGTTCCGCTATAGTTTTAGAAAGTCTATAATGGCGTGAGCTTGTAAATTAGTGTTTTAGGATCTTTGAATATTTTTATCTCATCAAAATTTTAGTCTATGGTAGTGGAATGTAAATAGGTCATTATGTTAATAAGGATTTTAACTTTTTTTTCAGGTTGAGTTATTATTACCGATTCGCGGAGACCAGGGGAAGTTTGTCAGGGCGGGCGGGATGATTGTTCTTCCATCCTGCCCCTGGATCTCCGAGGATGATTACCGTAAGTACCTTACTCAAAGTTACAATATTATATCGTAGCGTACATTTTGATATACTACATCCATCCTACTTTTGTTATGTTGGCATTTTTCCTCTGAACGTTTATTAAAATACCGCCAAATAACATAATGTACTTGTACGCCTTAACAATTCTGTTCAAAAGATTATATTTACTTATAACCAATGGCTTGTGACCTCGAACCCAAGTAGACTCCGGGACCTCGATCAAACGCCGGGCCCTCATTAAACACCCCAGGCTTTTCTTTAAAAATCGGCAGGTTTGACCCGGCGTTTTTTTCGAGACCAGAGTTTAATCGGGGTCCGGCGTTTAATCGAGGAAATATTCCTCAAAGTTATCCGCTGACCACTTAATAATCTTTAAGGTTTTTTCATGGTTAAAATGTGTAGATATGTATAGATAGCAAACCGTCTAGGTTGAGGATTCGCGTCTATAAGTAAATATGAATGTGAATTAATTTTATGTGGTAAACGTTGGCACTCTTATCATTCGGGTTTGCTGAGCTCGAAAGCACTATTAGTTTTTCCCAAGGCGACGGGTTTAGCCCAAACTTTTGTGCGTGATACGTGAAACGAATATTGTGATACTTGCGACCTGACGGATTCCATGGTGTTTTGCTGAGGATGAAAAAGAAGAATGTAGACTTTGGGTCCAAACATACAGCTGAGAAACCCAAATGAAATCACTAACGTAGTGCAACAAGACACTAGAGTCACGTACCAGCTCTCAAAAGCAAACGCCACTGGGTAATACGCCAGCGAGGAAAGCAACAAAATGTACATGGAAAATCCTATGTACTTTGCCTCATTAAAGTTTTCGGGAATGCCCCTCGCTTTGAAGGCATAGTACGTGCACAAGAGAGCGATTATTAACGTGTAGATACACACAGTTAGGAACAGTGAGAATCCGTTTTTGTTGTAGAACAATTTACACACCAGAAAGATGTGCTCATCTGATCGGATGATCTTTTCACGCCCAGGAGGATCAACACACATCCACAGTGCTAGCAATAAAAGGGCGGAAAAGTTCATCAAAGATATAAGAATGGTTTGTCTCGTTACGGTCTTAAAACACGGAGTAAACAACTGCGCAACTTTATCGACCTGGAACACACTGGTAATTCGCATTGTCTTCACAAAAAGCACGGTTATGCAGAGATTGAGTGCAGAATAGCGCCAGAAAGCAGCTATACTGCATTGTAAATTACTTGGAATGGCCAGCTCAAAACTGGACAAACCAAAGAGTGCCGCAATGCCAAGCAACAGTAAAAAAGACACTTCCCTGCTGGATGCTTTCACAATTGGAGTCTCATAGAACTTAGCGTAATATGCACAAACCAATGCAGTGAGAAACAATCCGATGATCGCTACAATTATCACGCTGATTCCAGTTGCCGATGTTATACCGATGTTGATGGTTGGTAAATGCTCACACATAGTGCGCTCCTTGTTTGGCTTTGTCTCCGCGTCACACTCTTTACAGCTCTTTGATCCCATCTCGCTGCTGATAGTTCCCTGTGGGCATGTTATACAGTCCCAGCAGCATGGCGTGCTAGGCGCCTTCATAGTGCCCGGAAGGCATTCGGATGCACAGAAGGCTACTGGGCCTGACAAATTGTTCACTAAGGGGCTCCAACGCAAACTGGTGGTATTTATCTTAAGTCTAGGATTGGCATCCTTGTCCCAGACGCCGACCAGAACCTTTCTGTGAGCTATCTCTGTGGTCGACTGTCGTTGGAAGTTAATAATATCGTAGGAAGCAGACAAAGGGTCGCCAGAGCTGTCAAATCGTACATTTCCAGTCAAACCGTTAAAACTGACATTTCTGAGGTATTTCTGTAAATCGCTTCCTTTAACAGCAGGTTGCAGGGAGGGGCACTGACCTTTTATGGATGGGCAGAGATAGATACTGTTCAAAGCATGAGCTAGCGCGTAAACAGCGTCGATGAGGTAAGACACGAAAGAACTTCGTATCTTAGTTACTGCATGGTATGATGTCAGATTTGCATCGCATACTGCAACACCAGAATTTCTCGAATGTGTTGCAGAGCAGTTGAATTGCGATCTCCACAATTCGTCCCACCACACCAGCCCGGTTTCAACGCTTTTCGCCGGAGTAATCATCTTGAGATGCTCCTCAAAAGCCCGATCTCGGTAGTCACGTGGCTGTATGCCGAGAGAACCGTCTAGTATTTTAAAGCGAGGGTCAAGAAAGACTGCCTCCTCGGCTGTCAGGGCGTCACTTAGTATTAATGTCCTATCTTCAATGTTTTCATTTATTGCTTCCACGAAGAATGCTCTACCATAACCGCCAGAAAGCCAAACGATGATCACCCCAATGCTAGGCCTTAGCTTAATCTTGGCAACAGTTTGCTTGATTTTATCTTGATAGCCTAGTCGTGGAATAAACTCAGAAAATGCAACACAGAAGGTTTCCCTGTTGTACGATTCTTTCTCCAGTGCCCAAATACCATTTCGACCGTAAGAGTCATCCAGGCCTACAGCCGCCACGTATGTCCAGTTAAAAAGCTCTATGAGGTCTGCCATAACCTTTGCCTGCCAGTTGTCTGGTGGAACCGTCCTGAAGAAGTCTTTGTATAACTGTGAACTCAACTCTACACTTGTTGCAGTTGGACTGATGGCAGGAATGTCAGCTACCTGAAGTAAGCTTCCAACCAATACTGCGCTTCCGGAATTGTAAGGACCAACAAGCGCGGAAATGGGTTTGGAATTGACGTTCTTTGTGGCATTACCCTTTGCAGAAGAACTGACATTCCAGTCACACATGCAGCTGGTATCACTCTCTCGCATGAAGTCATAAGTTATTTTCATGGCCAATGCCGTGCTCTCGCAGTAGTTTCTTATGTCATAACCAAGTGTCACGTTTGGTAGCAGACTTTGATTTTCATTTATGCTCTCAATAGCGAAGATCATAGCTTCTGCGTGCCCCAACCCCATTGTGAAAAGTTCGTCACAGTGATCATTACTACCAGCAAAGTGAAGATTGAAAAGGCCACCCAACATAACGTCACCCTCTTTGTAAGCTCTAACTTCGTGGTTGCAGAATGAGTAGGACGTCAACAGCAGCACCAAGTATCCCTGTGCTAAAAGAGTGAAGCTTGCCTGCCTTGTGTAGGCCTTCGCCTCCATTATTTTTGGTATATAATATATTAAGTACTTGGGTTCCTCTTTGAATAGCTTTTACCTAAAACGAGGTCAGATAAGGGCTGTTAAACATTTGGCCAGGAGTAGGAATATGCGAATATTTCTAAACACTGATGTACCTTCAAAATTACTAACAAGGAGGAAAAAGGATTAAACGTTCCGATCTATTTCTGTTATAAGCGGCCCGGGTTCGTCAATTGAGAAGTGCCGCGAGTCGAAATGAAATTATTCAGAAGTTGACTTGTAACCATGTACATCTGCTATTTTGATAAAGAAAATTAGTAGAAGAGAATTCGGGTTGAAGTGTTTTTAGAAGTCAAATTCCTAAAGATTTGATGAATTGAAGATTTTTTCTTGTCTTGCCGGGGGCTTCTGCAGGTGAAATTTGTCAAATATTGGATTGGTACCTTATGTCATGAATTAGTGATTTAAGTAAAGCGTATTTGGTTAGCTCATAGTCAGATCTTTGGCTACTGAAGAACCTCCGCCAAAACCAAGCAAGTCTAGTCGAAATATATAGAAATTCTAAACGACGCCGGGTTGTCGATTATTTCGTTTATTCTAGACTACAAATCAGGGTGATATTGAGTGTCAAACTAGAACTTACTTTTTAGGACAATTACCTTGATGTTCAAACCAAATCCTGAAGAAAGATTTTGATTTATTTCAATTAACTCAACTCATCTCTTGAATTAACACGAAAAGATTTATAATAAAATGTTTATTTGGTTTTCGCTCAGTGAAATTTTGTAATTCATGTTACAACAACTAAGCATGTTTTGCCGTTTTTAAGTGCTGGCTTCTTATTTAAAATATAAACAAAAAGGAACGAACTTGGTCACTTCGACTGCAACACCGCGCTGAAAAAAAGTCAAATTAATGCGAGGGGGCTGGTTCAATTGGAATTATAGATGACACTTACCTTAACTAAAAGAACGAGCTGCCAGCTTTTTAGCGTCCTTGAGATGTGTGTTTTTTAACAATAATGTTGAAAAAAGCCGCATTTTGAGTTACCTTTTCTCGCCTTCGCGCACACCCTGAGCAAATTCTGTGGCCACTGCGTGTTATATTAAATAGCAGTTAGAAATGCATAGTGACTATGCAGCCAGCTGGGGCTCACAGCAGTGGATACCACTTTTAGTTGTTTTGTTGTGTTAGTCTTGAAGCAAAAGTTGTTAAGTAAAGTTTTTCACCCTCTTTTTTATCTTAATTGTCATTTTTAAGAGTCATGCCGGTTTGGCCGGTACATTCAAAATGATCGAAAACGTGATTGTTGTTTGAAACATAAAGCATAGACGCCCATTCTTAATGAGCTCATTGGCTCATCTCATTAGGTTTGCTTTAATATGAATACTGATGTGCCCGTGACTCTGTCGGCGGGCATCTTGATAATAACAACCCCAGTGAAATTGTTTAAGCTATTTATTTCGTGTCCGTCAATCTCGTCCAATCTTAAGTGAGCCTCTCGACAACGAAATAAATTCAACCATTTTTTTGGAGAGCTATATATATAGTTAGCGACCGACAATGCAAACTAAAATAACAAAATTTTTTATTTTCATAGATGTATTTCACTTGGTTTCTCACAACATCGAGCAGATGTTCGTCAACTGTAGCTTGAAGAATAATTAAGTTTACACCGCGAAAGAGCACTTCAATTTTCCTGCAGAGCAAACATCGAAACAAAAAGCCAACATGTCTCATTATTATCTTTTTCTTGAACATTTGACATGACATAGTTCTTTTATCTGGCCAATGAACACATCACTTAAAGTAAAAAAAAAAAAATTGTAAATGCCCTGAGACTTCTAGTAAATTCCAAAAATTGAGAGGTTTATGACCGGAAAAGAAAAATCTTGTAAAAGCAAATGTCAGTCTCGGTAAAATCCCATTAGCTTACCAATATTTAGTTGCTAGATTGTATTCAGATTTATGGTTGAATTGATAAAATTTAAGGGCTTATTAGATGATGGCCATGGTGTAGCCGAGAACTAAGATTGAGATTTAGGCTAGGCTTTACAATGATATATCACGATCAGTTGTTAGCTACATGGAGTTTTAGCCTTTTCAGGCTCCCTTTTGAAGCAAACACATGGAGTACCTTTTTAGAAGTTATTACTAAGAAAAAGTAAACAAAATGATAGCATATTGACGCCTCTGTGCCCGGCGGTAGTCCTTGTAATCATCTTATCATCAATTCAACATTTATTGTCCGTAACTTAAAAAAGAGTAGTTTCTCAATTCAGTATTCCGCAAGTTCGCGACGCAGATGAACATGGATAAGGAGCGATTCAAATATTTAGTATCGCACTTTTAATATCCATTCTAGTGTCAGATGTGCCGCCAATTAAGTTATAACCGGGAAGGTTTATGGCAAATTAGTTTAATGACCTCAGAAATTGCGTTTTACAAAGCGATGGTAAACCAATGCAATTTCATATCTGTTCACCCTCCAGGGCTCATCAGTTATTCCCAAGAGACGTTGAATAATTTGGTTTCTCTTGGCAGGCAATTTCCCGCAAAGATTTTAATTTATGAAGCTGAAGAGCGCCTTTATTAAAATTCATATAGCTTCATTTGTAACCGGATAGGAAGAAGCACGTAATTATATTTATATTTATCATGCCGGGTCAGGAGTGGCAAAAACCCTTGTTAAAAAGGGAATTTGACATTTCAGTTCCACTTTGCAAAATTTTCATCTTGTAAAACGAGCGATCAGTATCGTATTATTTTGTCATCGGAACAATTCTGGATAGATAAGCGAACTGCAAATGAAAAACCAATAACCAATGAAAGAATTGAAAAAAATTATTTTTTTTAGTGTCAGTTTTATCACAAACATTGTGTAACTGAGGTTTTTAAGAAAACTGTGAATCGGCTCTACTACCTGTCAAATTGTCTTTGATGGCATTTCTATACAAAAAGTTACCATAGCAGCATCATAACTTGACAAAACACTCTGGATAATAATAATAATAATAATAATAATAATAATATTAATGATAATAGAAATAACAAAACAAGCCTAGCGAATTTATCGATCTAAATGTGTAGCAAATTCAGAACCATCTTACATTTTGGAAATTTCGGGTAGCTCTGAACCAGCTAATTTGCGTACATTCAGTCAGTCTTTGTGAAAACTTAAATCTCTACATGATGTTAAAATTTGGTTATACAAAGCGCGTCAGTCTATGAGTTTAACGGCTAAAATTTAAGAGTACTAAAACAGGTTATATCGTTTATGCGGCTTCAACTGCATTAAATAAGAGTGAAGTTGAAGTATAAATTATCATAATCAGCGTAAAAGTTCTGATATCTCGGATGAAAAATTATCAGCAACTGATTATTAGTAATAAATTAATTTAGAGAGTTACCGGAGGCAGACACTTAACAAATTGTTCGTAAAGTCCTTTATGGGTAAGTTGCCTAACGAAAGTGTGTCAAAGATGTTTTGTGATTAATTTTGATTACAGTTGAACCCCTCAATAACACCCACCTTGGGGACAGAAGAAAGTGGCCGTTAAGGTAACCGTTGTAGAGAGGTTTAAACAAGAGTCAATGAATGAATTATTTGTCTACTGGGACGAAAAAGGTGGCCGATGTAGAGAGGTGGCCGTTAGTGGAGGTTCGACTGTCTTATATTCTTTTATTATATGGCTATAGTAATACGCACTCTCTGGTTGGCTTTTTTCTTGTAATGACCGAGCACAGGGTTATGGGCTCCTACCGGACATTACTAGCTAGATATAGGTGCCCAAGGTATATTTAATATGTGTTTAACTTGATAGTGGACCGTATCTTTATGGACATCCATGTTTTGGTCAATTAATTGGCAGCTGTCAAAAAGGGCATCCATTGACCAGTGTCATCGCCTGTATCGCGGGCTCAAGTGTGCAACTCATTGAGGTGACCTGTTTTTTAAATTTATCCGCTGACCAGTTGTTGGTTTTGATTGATCGCAGGCTTAGGTCCATAATGAAAAGGCTATATAATAAATAACTTATTGATCTCGTCTGTTTGGTCATTACACCTAACATATATTTCATTCTGAAAACTCTCCAATTTGGGGGAAAATTGTAAATTCAAGCGCATTTTTATCATAAGCAGTAAAGATTTTAATAAAATAGGGAACTCCCATGAAAAAACTGCATTTATTTAGTGTCACAATCCGAGATCTAGATTGCGCGCTCATACGAGTTTTTCCAGGCGAGCAGCACGCCAGTCCTTGGGAGTCCTGTGCTCCTTGGGTGTCCTTACGCTATTTAGGCGTTTGTAATCCAGATTTCTGTTAATTTTGTCAGGATAATTGTTAGCAAGTATGTCCAGCAGTGTCAGTCTTAGCTTCTAATCTTAACACTCTTAATATTTCAACACTCTGATTGCGTTAAGTTTCGCAAACTTTGACACGCACAAACAGTTTCAAATTATTCTCGTATGATCGTAAACTGGTCAATAAAGAACCAAGGGCCAATTTAATAAAAGTTTTACAACTGTAATTTGCAAGTGTGGCTATAGTTTTCATTCTCTAAGGCACAAAAGTTTCCCTTGTAAATTACACTTGTAAAAGTCAGTTTATTAAATTGACCCCAACTCACAAAGAACTCGTAGGACTCCGTTGTAGTCCTTTACCCCGCACTATAATTGACCCCAAATAAGGTCTGTTATTAGCACATTTGCATGCCTTCATCGATTCTCAAATGATGCTTTACTGTCCAGCATGTGCTCGCTGCATTATTTTTACAATTTCAAACCTCTAGTTTTAAATGTAA